GKRSAGAGAGAGAGGAGGACACCAAACGAGGGGCTGTGACAAACTGTTTCGTCGGAGTTTCACCGACTCATCAGGAGGCTGAACCCTCAACAGTCTGATGAATCCCCTCACTGATTACACTGTAAATGATAATCTACCTTAACCAAAATCAAAGTAGACTATCACTCACCCACACCAGATGGAAATATATATCGTCATATATATTGTCACACTATAAATCGGAGCGCAAAGGCGGAAAAAGACAAAACAAGAAAAGGAAAAGAAGTAAGGAAAGCCCCACCTGTTCATCACCTCTTACGTACAAGGCCAGCCACGTGGATGCATATATATATATATACAGGGGCTGTGACAAACTGTTTCATCGGAATTTCACCGACTTATCAGGAGGCTGATATATTTGTCACATGATTTCAGAGCCTGATATAGATAGATAGATAGATAGATAGATAGATAGATTAATTATATATACATGTATATATCGTCAAACAGAGCTGCCCGGTAAACCGTAGGCAGAGAGGGAGAAGAGGACAACAAACGAGGGGCTGTAACAAACTGTTTCGTCGGAGGTTCACCGACTCATCAGGAGGCTGAACCCTCAACAGTCTGCAGAATCCCCTCATCAGGAGGCTGAACCCTCAACAGTCTGCAGAATCCCCTTACCGATTACACTGTAAGTGATAATCCACCTTAACCCGGGCTGTGGTTAAGCATCAACCACTGCCCGACAACTGATACTCTGAGCTATATATAAAAACGGAAGGACGATGCAGAGGGGGCAAATAGGCAAAGAGGCAAACGTACAAGCGCCCAGATTGACGATGAGAGCAGGAGAACAATAAGAAGAAGAAGAAGGAAGTACAAAAGAAAAGAAGAAGAAGAAGAAGAAGAAGAGGAAGAAGAAGAGAAGAGGAAGACCGTTACCTGCAGGTTTAAGCCACAACTCACTTCTCCCCGCGTTGAGACGGATGGATGGTGGCCTCTACAGTACCGACAGCGACACAGTGCAGCTCTGCTCCCTTCTGCTACACGTTTGTAGGTACTCTCGACCAAAGCCCAGTCCCACTACCGGCGTTACTGTTCGTGTGTATATATACTCCCGACAAAAGCAAAGTCCCACTAGCGGCGGTACTATCCCTGTCTTCAGAACTAAGCGGCACACTGCGACGGCGGGCGGCGTTTTGCGGCCAAAATAAAATTCCAGCTGTGTAGCGCGCTTACTTTTTTTTTTTTTTCTTTTTTTTTTGGCGTGTGGCGCGCTTGCAGTTCTTCCACATGGAGTACCTAAAAAAATAATAATAATAACAGAGGAAGATGCGCCCGTCGTCGTCGAGTATGGCGTATGAATAGTAATGGGCCCAGCTGCACTGAGCTCGACATTCACAAAAGCTCAGAAAAGACAAAACATATGGCAGTGTATCTTTCCATTATTCTTGTGAAAAGTTCATTGTCGAATTCCACCTTCGGGAGGAGTGCCGCGAGGCCCAATGGTGAAGGCTTTCGTTTCTACAGACCGTGGCCATCTGGTGATGCAGGGATTTGCTACCGTGACTCTAGCCTCGACACGTGGAAGGTATTTTTAATCCCTTTTTGTTTTTGGTTCATCCCGGCCGTGTGTGAACGGGACTGCGCAAGGATGACACGCATTAATCGAGATTTTAAATAATAAAAAAAGAAAAAAAAAAAAGAACGGGACTGGCGGTCCCCTCTCTAGCGAGGAAGGTATTTTTACTCCCTTTTTGTTTTTGGTTCATACGGCCGTGTGTGAACGGGACTGGCGGTCCCCCTCTCTAGCGTGATGTGCACCGCCCCAGAGAGGTGGACTCCCACTACCCTAACCTTTGCACTCCCTTTTTGTTTTTGCGGTATGTCAAACGGGACTGGCGGTCCCCCTCTCTGGACCTGGTTGCAGCGAGTAGGTGCCTGGTTGCACTGACTCGCGAATGAAAAATATGTCAGACTGCTCTCCACACCTTCTACACAAGTTGCGGCCAGTGTTTTCGGTTTCCCAACCTGTGCACGGCGGTTTGTGGAGGGTGGTCCTCGGACCTCAGGAGGACTCCCACTACCGTAACTCTAGCCTTGACAAGTGGAAGGTATTTACTCCCTTTTTGTTTTTTGTTCATCACCGCGGTCTGTCAAACGGGACTGGCGGTCCCCATCTCTGGACCTGGTTGCAGCGATGGTTGCACTGACTCGCCAAACTTGATGAATGAAAAATATGTCAGACTGCTCTCCACACCGTCTACACAAGTTGTGGCAGGTGTTTCCGGTTTCCCAACCTGTGCACGGCGGTTTGTGGAGGGGTCACACTAAGGTTGCGTTATCCACTGAGAAGCCTCCCCATAACCAAGTTACTATGGTGTCTCCTACAAAGTGGTCCCCGGACCTCTCCACAAAACAACTTTCTGGAGAGTGCACGGCTTCACGAGTAAAGATCAGGCAGACAATTTCTTTTAACTTTTGTGTAGAAGGAAGATGTGATAAGCTCAGACCCGTACCACGCGACTTCTCGTATCCCTTAGGAAAAATCCCCCGGAAGCCCCGAGGCACGGATGCTTGACAAACAGGGTTTTTTCTTTCTTTTTGCTTTTGTTTTCCTTTTTGAAACGGCTTTTTTCATTTTTGGTGAACAACTCCCGCGCGGACAAATAGCGGCCGCGGTATGAAAACCAAGAAACGGTTTCGGTGGGGACTTTTTGAATTTTTGCGCGTGCGCGCGCCTAAGCTCCGACTTCTTCGCGTGTCTCGCACCCCCGGTTCTTGCTTTGCATCCCCTCGCCATCTTCCCTTCTTGCTGCACGCACTTCCCCCATGCAGGACTCTTCATCTTCCCTCCCACCCAGCTCGATCCTTACTCCGCGAAGTGATTGGCCGCGTAGTTGGGATGCTCGGATCAATGTGGAGAGCGGGAAACCGCACACCACTTGAACGGACACCCCAATCACGTAGGACCATGCCATCCCGCGGGTCGAACCCTCTAACTCCCCACCTTCCTCCTGTCCTGCTCATCTACAACCTACGCTGCCCGCACCTCACGCTGACAACCCGCCGCCTCCCGCGCTATAAATTCGCGCAACCCTCTCCTCTCTCCCTCTTTGATCTCAGCTGTAATGCTGCGCGAGCTATGCGCGAAAGTCCGCGGCGCCTAACAGGCTCAACGAGCCCAAGGACGGGCGGAGTGACGACGTGAGGTGGACCCGCGGTAGTCTTGGGGCGAAGCAGTCGGAGGGACTAAGCAGTGGTGGGGATTGGGCGCTGGCCGCGGCAGGGCCTTGTGGCTATGGTGGTCGGTGGTCTTGGGAGGTTTTGAAGGCTGCGCCTGGGGGCGGCAGTTAATTGAGAATTTTTGTGTACAAGAAGGACTCACTTTTATCTCCATTGCTGCTTTGTCTATGCATGACGTGTGTGTGAAGCCCCGAGTGACGGGAGCTGGTTGTGCACATGAGTGATGTCGAAGGTCTATAGATGATTGGATGTCTCGTCAAGGGTTGCTGATTGCATGCATGTATGTGTGTATGTACTTATCCGGGCGGGGACGGGGGAACTGAACTGGAGGACCGTCTGCTTAGGAGTATGAGTGTGTTGATCCTGTTGTTCCCCTCCCCTCCGCGGCCTTTCCTGCGCGCATGCACAGTCTCGGTGTAACTCACTCTCTCTTTCTCTCTATCGCCTTTCTTTTTGAACTGATAGTCATAGCTTTTGGAACTTCTCGTCCCTGCACCGGTGACGTCAACCGCCTGCGTCCGCGCGCACGGTCGACGCCCCCACAAGGGGAAGGGAGCTTAGATTTCGTCATCTTCTTCCGACGAACCCACCTTGAGAGAGAAGAGTTGTGTGGAGTGTTGTATGGAGTCATTGTTGGTTCGGATGACCGGGAACGCGGGATTTTGCCCGTGTTCATCGCTCACCATCGATCGTCTCATCTCTCTACCGACCTTCCCCATTGCAGATGACGACAGCGTCTGCTGTGATGCGGATGTATGGCACACGCTGAGACGGACGGAGCAAGTGTGTTGGCGAGACCCGCCCCGGGCGTGTAATATAGGGGGGAATGGGTTTGTCTTGATTGATCGCTTTGATTCCCCGACTCTAATATTGCCTTATACGGGTTTGACGGTGTTGCCCTGGTCGGCCGCTCACGCCGCGTGGCGGCCGCAGTTTGATTGTCGCTGGTGTCGCCAGGGGGACTCGTGTTCTTGGCGACGCTTGGTCCTGGGTTACGAGGGAGCGACACGTTTCCCCGAGCTCTCCCGTAATGCGGGGGCGCTACCCGCGCAATTTTGAATCTGGATGCCGGCGAGTCCTCCCGCCGTTTCACCCGCTCAAAAACTTCCGCGCGGATTTTGCGAGTCCGACGCCGAGGCTTGAAGGACTCAAACCAACCACTTCCACAGCAAAAATCCGATGGTCCGGTCACTTCACGAGGCCAATGACGAGGCCTGAAGGCTTCGAACCCACTACCTATCCCTCAAGCCCATGACGGTCAGAGTTCTGTCTTTCGCCGCCATGACCCTCTCCCCTTGATGCCTTTTTCCGTCCTGATGCACGACGACAATTCATTTTTGTGGAAACCCTTCTGATTTTATCGTTTCGGAGTGATCCRACCCCCTACGGGACTTCGCGACGACAGTTCGACTCCGGGGTAACCTCTGGCACGAAACGAGAGCCTCCCGTTCCGTCCGGGAGACTCAACCCCTACGGCCAAAAATCCTCGGCCACGCCCCTCCTACAACTCTGATCGGCGACCCAGTACGAGAAGCTGCGAGGGGGCGTGAGGTTGGTATCAGAGCCTGTCTCTTATACACATCTAGATGTGTATAAGAGACAGGTCGGAGGTTCACCGACTCATCAGGAGGCTGAACCGGTTGGTATCAGAGCTGATTCGTTT